TAATTGAAAAGCAAAGATTTTATTTTTAAATCTATAAAATTGGTCCTGATGGATTTAGCTGGGATCCCATCTTACGCCTTTCTACCTATGGTTCCTCGTAGTTTAGTTTGATTCCTACGGTCAGAAAAAGCAACAAGAGTAACTGAATAACTACCAATATACATTTCCTTACTTATTGGCAAAGTTAACTAACTTCAGGGACTATGGTGGGCCAGCACTACTCTAATTATATTAGTTTTGTTGGAGAGGAATGATTCCAGGTCATTCTTTTCTATTAAATATCATCAAGTTGTCACAGAAGTCATGAAGGGAAAATTTAAAAAATGAAACAATCATCAGATGAAAGCCCATCTAGATCCCTTCCAAACCTTACCCACATTAAAATAGAGGGGCATGAACAGAGAACAGTATTCCAAGCCATTCATTCTGCTGTTTCCCTCATTCAAAGAATCAACACTCCCATCAATAAAAGGAGAAGAAAAATCAAGGCAGTGTGTGTATTTATCTGTGACAATTGCTCAGTAGACGGAAGCACAGTGAGATAATGGCAGAGATAGGCGTCAATTTCTTTACCAAATATAGCTTTCAATTTTTGACCTGAACTTTTTCACTCCCTCTCATCCACCCATTCATCCACTATTAAATCTGTAAGTCTGTTGACCTGTCTATCTTTGCATCTGGCCCCCTGAAAAAGGGACTTGGATGCCTCTATGCTGCCTTTTGATTTAAGCTGCAACCTTGGACTTCTGTCTTTGCACGACACAATTTTATTCAAAGACCCTGAACAATTGTAGTCTAAGTTACCTCGTTGATTCTGATGCCCCTACTCCAATTTTTTTATTGAGAAAAGGAAAAAAAAAAAGTTTCCGCCTCCTCCCAGCCTCCCATTTTCCTCCCCCTCCCCCCACTCCTCTCCCCCTCCCCTCTCTCTNACTCCTCTCCCCCTCCCTCTCCAATCCAAAGAGCAGTTAGGGTTCCCTGCCCTGTGGAAAGTCCAAGGTCCTCCCCCCTCCGTCCATGTCTAGGAAGGTGAACATCCAAAGTGCTTCTAGTCTTAGTTACGCTTTTGCATATTTTGCTAGGCCCACTTATGCACTTCCACAACAACTTTAACAAAAATAAGAAAACTTGTGGTATTAGTTCAAGCTGAGCCCACGCTCAATATCTTAGCAGTTGCTTACCTCCTTTCAGATCCCCTTGACTTCTGCTCACCCTGTCCCACCTCTCATCATATCATTGTGACTTCTGCCTACCCTGTCCTGACTTCTATCATATCCCTGTTTCTTGGTCCCAGGCTACTCGGCAGCTCAGACCAAAATAATCACACCGAAACTATACTATTTAAATCACTGCTTGACCCATTAGATCTAGCTTCTTTTTGGCTAACTCTTACATATTAATTTAACCCATCTCCACTAATCTGTGCATCACCACAAGGTCATGGCCTACCAGCAATGTTTCAGTGCATCTGTCTCTGGCGATTCTATGGCTTCTCCCTCAACTCTGCCTCTTTTCTCCCAGCATTCAGTTTAGTTTTCTCCACGTACCTAAGTTCTGCCCTACCAACAGGTCAAGGCAGTTTCTTTATTAACTGATGGTATTCACAGCATACAGAGGGCAATCCCACATCACCTGTGACTTCTGAGCACCCTGTCCCGCCTCCTATCATGTCAATGTGTCTTCTGCTTACCCTGTCCCACCACCTATCATATCCATGTGACTTCCGGTCACCCTGTTCTATCTCCTGGAAGAGTGGCATTAAGTTAATTTAACTAGAAACCCCCACAGTCCTGAGGTATCATTTTGAGAAGAAGTAGGATTGAATTTAAGTCCTCAACAATGTTTTTTTTTCCCCTTTGCACTCTGCATCTTGGCCATAAGCTCCTTTTTCTGTACTGTACCCTTAACTTAGCCCAGTCCTTTCATATCCCTTCTTGCCATGTTCCAGTAGTCAATAACTTATTTTCAAATTCTCAACTATTGTGATCCTGCTTTTTAAGAAAAATATTTATTTTACTTTCAACATGCATGCATGTATGTATGTATGTTGTGAATGTCTGTGTGGGAGTATGCTCATACATGCATACAAATGTCTGAAAAGACCAGAAGAAGGCATCAGATTTCCTGATATTAGGGTTATAAATGATTATGAGCCACCTGATGTGGGAGGTAGGAAATGAACTCAGCAAGCCCCACACATGCTCCTAACTGCAGTGTCATTTCACCAGACCCCTTTAGTTTAGGTTTTTATTTTAACACAGATTTTTTTTTTATTTTTGACATACTGTCTGGTGTTGTCTAGGCTGCCCTTAGAATCATTACATCACCAGTGATGAACTTTACTTTTTGAGCCTCTTGTTTCTACCTCCCCAATATTAGGAAGCAGCCATTTTCACCACATCCAGTTTCTGCAGTGCGGGGGTACAAGTCTAGTGCTTTCTGTATGCTAGTTAAGCACGCTATAATGAGCTTCATTCCCAGGCAGATGGTTATTATTATTTTTATAAAGAACTGGAATATTCAAAAAACAAAATTCTATAAGCTCATTAATCTTTTAAGGTCCTTAGCATCCATCACTTCATGATGATTTCTGTTTTAATTGCACAATAACTCTGGATAGGTAGGCAGGCATTTTTATCTCTTTCTTTCAAGTTATAAAATTGAGGTACAGAGAGGTCAGAATCCAAGAAAATGAGGAAAATGAACAGGAAAACCAAGGTCTCCTAATTTCCAACCCCAGGGCCTTGCATAAAGATGAGGCCAGTTCTCAGGGAGTTTCGAATGAGATGTTATTGATGGCTTCAGGATAGAAGTGTTCTGATATATTTGGCCTTAAATTGAACAGTGCATCCAGCACCATGCTAAGTAATGTGAATTCAGGAATATAGAAGAAATCCTCAGAACTTTCAGCATGAAAAGTTGACACAGAAGAGAAAAAAACAAGCTCAGGCTGGCTTCTATGTTTGCAATCAGAAATGGCTAGAACGGCCACCTCGTAACTCTGTGAATTTGAATAAAAGAAAAAAAAACCAAATAACTGTAATATTTTTTGTGTAGAATGTCTCATTGCTTGCTATGTGCTATTGGTTTGTATAAAAATTTCAGCATTTAACAAGGCAGGCCCTTTGCTTTAATCTGTCTACTGCAAAGTTAATCTTTATCATCTGCCTTATACAGATCTTAAATGATGATTGAAGAAATGTAGCATAAAGAGATGTATAATGGAAACATTAAAGATACACAAAATTAGATTCTATCGGAAATACGTGTTACACAAATGCTGTAGATTATGACTTTAAAAAAAGAGCAGGAAGGAATAAAATGGAGCATTTTGACTTGTCAAACACAAAATATTTCTAAGTTTTACTTGGTTCTGAAATATTGTAAGAGAACAGGAAAACATCTACTTTATTTTTCTCTTCCTCTTCTCTCTAGAACAAACACCCAAGATTCCAAACTATTATGGACATTGTAGGTAATGATGCTGGAAGGACGATTTTTCATTCAATTGCATTCCCAGGTAAGACATTGCCATGTCCCTTTTCTCATTCACTCTGGGGAATCCGGAAGAGGCAGAAGGTAGGCAGTGCTTCTTCCGGGAAGCTCAGGCATCTGGCTTTCTCATTTTATCTCCTGTTTATGTAGAACAGTATTAGTTAGCTACCCCTGGGTCTTTCCCCACCAAAATCATTCTTTGCTTTTTTCTGGTCTAATTTGTTGACAGAATGTGAACCCATGAGCATGCAAATTGTATAAATTGATGATAAGATTGGAGAAATCCACAGGTCTCCCCTTAGGACTTAAAATTAAATTCTGCTTCTACGCAGATTACTAGAGAATTTTCCATCAAGAATTGTCCACGAGATATGGGGAAATCTTGCCTTAAGTGCAGCCCTGTTTCCTCCTGTAGGTTAGTAAAGCTCTGGGTACCACCTAAAGGAGGGATATCAATGTGTGTGCCTGCATCAGTGTCTGTGTGTGCCTGTGTGTGTTTATGTATGCCTGTATGTGTATACCTGTGTATGTTCATGTATGCCTTTTGTTCCTGTGTGTGTTCCAGTAGGTGTCCATGTGGGCCTGTGTATGCACTCCTGTGTGTGTGCCCATGTTTGTGTGTGTTTATGTGTGTTCTTGTGTGTCTTTGTGTAGCTGTGTGTGTGTTCATGTATGCTTTTGTGTATACGTTTTTGTCTATTCTGTTGTGTGTGTTCATGTGTTTGAGTTTGTGTGTCTGTATGTATCTTTGTTTATTTATGTGTTCACGTGCCTGTGTGTTCATGTATACCTGTGTATGATTGTGTGTATATATAAGAGTGTTCATGTACATGCGTGTTTATGCTGAGAGGTGAAAACTGTGGGGCCTTACTGATGTACCCTGGCCAACATAACTTTGACATTACAGGTTTTACAATGTCTGTCGCAATTTGTGTTTCTTTCTTTTTCCTTTTCTCCTCTTCACCTTTCTGCTTCTTCTACTTTTCTTTTTGGCAGGAAGACACCACTCCCATGCTACCTGACAGGTGCCAAAACAGTGCCTCAGAATAAGTCATTTGATCCCTGAGAGGTCACTGGTAAATAATGAGCCCAGACTTATATACCAACTTCTGAATTATTTCTCTCCTTTATACACAGTTTCTTCTCCCAAGCCACTAACTTGGCCAGCACTATTGTCCTATAACAAATGTACTTTGTTAATTTTCCTGACATGAGAAACAATAAGCGCAAGTATGAGATTTGATTCAAGATCAAGCAAGTTTTGAAGTGTTACATAAACTGAAAATAATCCAATATGAATCATGTCTTGGAAGAAAATATGTAACCCATCAGAAACACTACGGCAAATGGCTGAGTTTATCCAAACAGTTCTCCTGTTTTCCTTACTATGTTATATGTAGCTGTGCATGACAGCCACAGAACCTAGTGCGTGGAAAACAACCACATATCAATTGTACACTTTTCTCACAACAAAGAGAAGAAACATTGCATAGCAAAGCACTTACCGCTGCTTGCCGATGAGTGTTGGACAATATCCCATGAATCTTCACTTTGTCTTTCTCCATTTGGTCTATGTTCACCCACAGATCTCGGCTGGCAGAGTCCGTTGGACCATATATCCGAGATATGTAGTAATTGTGATCTGTGTCCTCCTGCATTGGTGGAAAATGACGAACATTAATTTTCCGCTAATTTTATTTTTAAGAGTTCTTCTGTAATTAAAGATTTCAGTGATCTCTAATCTAGCAAATGGTTTAAGTAGAGTCATAGAGAAGTGAATTGAAATGAAAATTGAATATGTAGAAGAAACAGTTAAATACAAAAAAATTTACAATCAAATTTATATTCTGTGTACTATGTATTTCGTTTTTGTGATAGTAATAGTAGACATTTAACTGCTGACAAGACAAAAACATCTGATTTTAGAAATATTTAGTGAGGATCTGAGCTATAATTACATTGGGTGACAACAAAATTAATTTATTCTTTAAAAACATTATATTTGGGACTGAATTTAGTTAATAATACTAGAAATTCAGATAACTGCTTAATTTGGGTTATTAAAACCTACTCTTATTTGAGTTCTCATTATGGGTCTCATTAAAGTGCTTTGTACAGGGATTTTATTTCTCATGCTTCCAGCTCAATGGGGAAAGTGAATGTTTTAAAAGAATACCACACATGGATAATGCACATCATATACATGTATTAGCCACAAAATGCAACGATGTCATAAGGGGCTTGAGGATGGCTCCTCCATGGATAAGTAAGCATGTGCCAGGAAGCATGGCACTCTCTGTTTGGGTCTCAATTACCCAATAAAAGTCAGACATGTCACATGCATAATTTTAAGAGATATTTAATTTCATGTGTAATTATATGCATTTATATTCACTTTTTATATGTATTTTGTCTGACATTTTGGTGAATATGTGCAAAGTGAATAAAGAAGATTTTCTTTGATTTGAGCAATTATGTTTTGGAAGTGAATTCTGTCTAATACATTTATTACAAAGTGTTTCTAGAATAAAACTGAGGTACCAAGCCATTCAGTCAAAACCAGAATCTCAAGTATGTCTTCACAGATCACCAGGTCAACGTGTACAGAAACTGATTATAGAAAGTATAAGAAGGCTCATGTATAACCAATATTCAAAGGGATTTTGTATCATTCCTAAAAGAAATAAAACAATTCAAGACAAAAGTATTGAAGGGAATGGATGTAAACAAGAAATTGAGTTTTTATTTAATAAAATTTATAAGAAAATTTTAGTTAAGTTTTGGGTGCAAGAAACTTCTGTAGACGTAGAATAATATAGGAGACTAAAGGACATGGGAATGAGATGTTCTAAAGCTGGGATGATGGGCAGCCTTGTGAATTTCCACATCTTTCTTTCACAGCGTCATGACAAAATGCATGAGGACCAAAACATTGTGATGTGTCTTCTAGTGTCTGCTGCTTTCCTGCTGGGACCTCTTCACAAGAAGGAGAATGAGCCATGCTATTTTACCAGTCACAAAAAATCAGTGGACATGTGTGAGCATCAGTGAAAGATTGGCCATTGGCAAGGTGTTTAGAAGCTCAGAGGATGTAAGGTCCCTTATTCTGATTATGGGATATCTATGTGAGATTTGGTACAGTTGCCATTTTGGCATCATGGGGAGACTACTGAAAATAAAAGTAACACACAGGACAAAATGGCAAACACTAACGGAGAAGCTTTCTCTCTGGCTATGTTTATCTGCATGTGATTATCTAAATGCACTTATTCAACTGCTTTTATCATACTTCACCTTAATAGAGGAATACTGATATAAAAAGCATGGCTCTAATTCATAATAAAACTTAAACACGACAGAAATAAGTGATTTTATAGACCCTTTAGGTCTTGGTAACAAACACACACTCAATTCTTGCATTCTACGGAGTCACCGAGTAAAAATGTGGAGGCTTACATAACTTGCCCAAAGGTGTCAGGTCTGTACAGCAAATAATGCTAACTTATTCAGTTTTAGTGAGTATTAGAAAAGATGACTTTGGAGAAAATGCTCAATGAATGATAATTGTTACGAGTTTATTATAAACTGTAATAAGCTGAGTAAAACTAACGTGTACAATACAATACAATGGACACACTGTGTAACTGATTATGTGATGTAGTAAAATTCATATGAAATTAGTAATTCATAAAGTTTAACCAATTAAGCATAGAGTTCAGTATAAAGGTAGAAGTCAACGTTTAAAAAAATTGGTTTTCTCCTTAATCTCTGTAATTATTTAAACAAATACTTTTTTGTTATCATGAATAATAAAAATGTAACAAGATAATGAATTATCTGAAAAATTACTCACAACTTTGGCTGCAATACATATATCTGATATGTGAGACCATTCCCTTAATTTTCAGCTAAGTTGGAATTTTTCAAAACAATATCAGGTCTTGAAAACACTGAAGTTAAGCTAAAGACTTGGTACTGACTTCTATAGCTCAATTTTGCCAAGTTGCCATGGCAACTTTTATTCAAAGATAAAAGCAATTTATTGTTTACCTAGGAAAGTAGACACACAAATTGTTAAACCCCAGAGAGGCATTTGTCTCAGGCACTCAGAAAAGCTATAAAATAGATATCTCAAAAATGTGAGATTTTAGCCTCAATAAATTATTCAAACTACTTTTTGTCATTTTTAGGCATAATGACTCTTAGAGAGTTATTGAAAGTCACTTTGGGCACAAAGATTTTTATTTTTCCTCTAAAGCAAAACTATTTCTAATACCAGAGACAATAAAGCAAAGCACTACTGTGAGGTGACTACTTGCCAATTCATTTAGGAAACCAACTGTTACTGAAAGTAGATGGCTCAGTGGGTGACTCCAAATGCTATAAACTCAGGTTGTCAACAACTGCCTGCAAATCTGCAGCTGTTGAGCAACATAGGGCATCCCTCAAAACATGCAGTCGATGGCTCGCCATAGCTACAGGCATCCTGCACAAATCAGTCTACCCCATCCAACCTCAGTTTTCTCTTCTACCATGGCTGTTAAGCAATATCACTACACATAGTATTTATGGATTATTCATATTTCTAGATGCAGCAATGACATCTGGATACCAAGTGTATTTCGTTGAGAACTGCAAGAAATTGAGAACTTATTGTATAGCCATCCATGTGCTAAGAATTTGATTTCTGGATTCATTTAAATAATCAAGGTTTCCAGGTAAGTCATATAGCGCTAAACATAAGGCTACCACATAAATATTAGTCTATAATACATAGGATTGTAGTGCTCTTTACACATGTGGAGGTGTACTTTATTCTTTTAAGAATGTTTTCACAGTGGGCGGTAGTGGCACACGCCTCTAATCCCAGCACTCGGAAGGCAGAGGCAAGAGGATCTCTGTGAGTTCAAGACCACCCTGGTCTACAAGAGCTAGTTCCAGGACAGGCTCCAAAAGCTTCAGTGAAACCCTGTCTTGAAAAACAAACAAAAAAATAAGAATTTTTTCTCATACGATTATCATTTATTTAAACATAAAGTTATTTTACATACTATGTGTGTAAGTCATACTTTCAAGAAATACATTTTACAAACGAACAACAGGCTAGTTCTATGTTTAATAAGAAAGTAAGGAGTATGATAAAATAGCAAAACTGAAGAAAGAGCATAGTGAGAGTATTAAGAGAAAATAAAACTTGTGTGAAAGCTGAGTGCAGTCCTACTTTGCCCACACAGCCTTGCCTTGGGCATCAAAGAGCACCACCACTCTAGGACAGATGCAATGGGATAAACATTGCTGGCCTTGCTTCAAAATTTTTATGTTAAAAATTAAACTCCCAGCATGCTTATAATTTTCTCGAGGGTCTTAATGAGGGTAGTCAAGGTTAAACAATGCCATAATTGTGGAAAGTGGACAAGGCAAGATTGGTACACATAAAAGGAGGCATGAATATTTTCCCTCCCTCTTCTGGCTGCTTCCTTCCACACCTCTTCTCATCCCCCAATCTTCTTCTCTTCCCCTTTCCCTCATTTTCTCTCCTTCCTTGGGAAAAGTCCACAGAATTTGCAACAAAACTGTGTACTATGAATTTTCCTGTGATAATTTCTCCCCTCTCCTCTTCCTTGGCACACATTTGCTAGAACCCAGTAAATAGCTTAGGATAGCCTAGACCTCATGGCCACCTCCTAAGTGCTAGCTTTATCATTATAGGTGTGAATCACGGCATTTGGCTCAAAATGCAATTGTATAGGTATCCAAAACAGACAAGTCAGATTATAAAACAGTAAGAAAACATCGGATAATCTAACACCATCATAGCATTCCATGGAAAAAGCATCTATAAAACCTTGGAAAATGAACTTGTGACTCAAATTTTTTCCTCTATCAAGTTATATTTTAAATACAAGGTAGTATCTTTCTAATAATGTAGATATAGAGAAAATATATCACCAATGTGAAATTCTGGAACATGTAATACCTACTTTCATATCAAACAGGGGGTAATTAAACTGCCCATCACAGCGATTCCAGTGAGCAATGAGCTGTGTGAAGGCCTGGCTCTGTGTGGGCATACAAAAGCTATGGCCAAAGGTCTGATGAAGAGTACTGACTCTGTGACAAGAATACTTCATAAAAGGTCACATGTGGTCACTAAAAGTATAAGCAGGCATATAATTTCTTTCCATCATGAATATATAATAATAATTTTCAAATTCTTATGTACTGACTGTGAAATGCCCCTCACAGGCTCATGTCTAGAGTGTGTGTTCTGCAGCTGATTGCACTATTTGGTAAGCTTGTGGAACCATTAGGAGATGAGCACAACAGCCCAGGTAGCCAGATGGCATCTTTAACATTTCCAAATGATGCCTGCTTGTTCTCAACAGTGAGTGGCGAGACCATCAGGTTCACTAACACTGGGCAGATTGCTGTCCTGCTGCAGAAGGTTCACACTCAAGCCACAGACTCCTCCATTTTGGCACGGAAATGTTAGCAACAAGGGTGGACTTCAAAAATATGGGTTAAAAGTTATGTGGAAAAAAGAAAGCTGTACAAACAATGCCTGCAGTGTCTGACAGTTATGTAAATGAAGAGCAAAACAATTCCAAAAAAAAAAAAAAAAGAAGAAGATAAAGCTTAAATGAAGGAAGTG